CATGATTATAACAGCCACGCACCATGATTATAACAACCACAACCATAATTATAACAACCACGCACTCATGATTATAACAACCACAACCATAATTATAACAACCACGCACCATGATTATAACAACCACAACCATAATTATAATAAACCACGACTATGATTATAACAACCACGTACCATGATTATATCCATGATTATAACAACCACTACCATGATTATAACAACTAACGCATGATTATAACAACGACCATGATTACAAACAACCACAACCATGATTATAACAGCCATTTACCTATGATTATAACAACCACAACCATAATTATAACAACCACGACTATGATTTATACAACCACCACTCATGATTATAGCACTACCACCATGATTATAACAACACCATGATTATAACAAATCACCGACTGATTATAATAACCACGACTATGATTATAATAACTTACGATGATTATAACCATGACCATGATTATAACAACCACAACTATGATTATAAATAACCACGACCATGATTATAACAACCACGACCATGATTATAAATAAAACCATTACCATGATTAAGTATAACTACTAATTACGATGATTTACCATGATTATAAAAACCACGACCATGATTATAACAACCACTACCATGATTATAACAACTACCATCATGATTATAACCATGACTATGATTATAACAAACTACTACCATGATTATAACAACAACGACCAATGATTATAACAACCACGATCATGATTATAACAACCACGCACTAATGATTATATCAACCATGACTATGATTATAACAACCACGACTATGATTATAACAACCACGTAACATGATTATAACAACTACTACTATGATTATAACAACCACGCACCATGATTATAAAAAACTACTACCATGATTATAACAACTACGACTATGACCATAACCACTAATTACCAGATTATAACAACCACGCACTATGATTATAACAACCACGACCATGATTATAACAACCACTAACATGATTATAAACAACCACTTAACGATTATAACAAACTACTAACCATGATTATAACAACCACGTACCATGATTATAATAACCACCTAACATGATTATAACAACTAACGCACTATGATTATAACCACGCACTATAATTAAAACAACTACTAATTACGATTATAAATAACCACCCACTATGATTATGACAACCACGCACTATGATTATTATGACTACTATGATTATAAAAATCCACTACCATGATTAATAAATCACTTACCATGATTATAAACAACCACTACCATGATTATAACAACCACGACTATGATTATAATAACAACCACCATGATTATAACAACCACCACCAGATTATAACAACACACCATGATTATAACAACCATCTACCATGATTATAACAACAACGCACTACATGATTACAACAACCACAACCATGATTATAACAGCCACGCACAATGATTATAACAACCACAACCATAATTATAAAAACCACGATTAATGATTATAATAACCACTTAACATGATTATAACCACTACCATAATTATAACAACCACTACTCATGATTATAACAACCACCACCATGATTATGACAACCACGCACCATGATTATGATCTAATTATGATTAAAACAACCACTACCATGATTATAACAACCACAACCATGATTATAACAACCACGACCATGATTATAACAACCACTTACCATGATTATAACAACCACAACCATGATATAACAACTACCACCATGATTATAACAACCACCACTATAATTATAACAACCCCGACCATGATTATAACAACCACGTACCATGATTATAACAACTACTCACTACATTATAACAACCATTACCATGATTATAAATAACCACGCACCATGATTATAAATAAACACCCACCATGATTATAACAACAACCACTATGATTATAAATAACCACCACCATGATTATAACAACCACGCACCATGATTATAACAACTACTACCATGATTATAACAACAAACACTATGATTATAAACAACTACAACCATGATTATAACAGCCATTACCATGATTATAATAAACCACAACCATAATTATAACAACCACGACTATGATTATAACAACCACTAACATGATTATAACAACCACAACCATGATTATAAATAACCACGACCATGATTATAACAACGACTATGATTATAACAACCTACGACCAGATTATAACAACAACTACCATGATTATAACAACAACACTCATGATTATAACAACCACTACCATGATTATTATAACCACTGACCATGATTATAACAACCACTCACCATGATTATAACAACAACGACCATGATTTAAATAACCACAACCATGATTATAACAGCCACGACCATGATTATAACAACCACAACCATAATTATAACAACCACGACTATGATTATAAAAAACCACCAACATGATTATAACAACCACAACCATGATTATAACAACCACGACCATGATTATAACAACAACCATTACATTATAACAACCACACGCCTATGATTATACAAACCACGACCATGATTATAACAACCACGACTATGATTTAAATAAACTACTTACTAGATTATAACACCCACGACTATGATCATAACCACTACCATAATTATAACAACCAAGACCGTGATTATAACGAACCATGATTATAACAAACCACGAACATGATTATAACAACCATCTACTATGATTATAACAACCACGACCATGATTATAACAATAACGCCTATGATTATAAAAAACCACTTACTATGATTATAACAACCATTACCATGATTATAACAACCATTACCAACATGATAACTACTGATTACGATAGATTATAACAACCACGATCATGATTATAACAACCACGACCATGATTATGATCGACCATAATTATAACAACCACGGCCATGATTATAACACAAACGACCATGATTATAACAACCACTGACCATGATTATAACAACCATGACTATGATTATAACACCTACGACTAGATCATAACCACGTATCATGATTATAACAACCAAACCGGATTATAACCACCGTGATTATAACGTACTATGATTATATCAACCACTAACATGATTATAACAACCACGACTCTGATTAAACAACCACGACCATGATTATAACAACAACGACCATGATTATAACAACCACGACTATGATTATAACAACCATTACCATGATTATAAAAAACCACGACTATGATTATAACAAACCACTACTATGATTATAAACCACGCAACATGATTATAACAACCACGACTATGATTATAACAACCACGACCATGATTATAACAACCACTGACCATGATTATAACACCTACGACTATGATCATAACCATTACCATGATTATAATAACCAAGACCGTGATTATAACGACCATGATTATAACAACCACGACCATGATTATAAATAACCATTACCATGATTATAACAACCACGAACATGATTATAAACAACCATGACTATGATTATAACTAAACCAATTACCATGATTATAAACAACCACGCACTCATGATTATAACAACCACGAACATGATTATAACAACCACTTACCATGATTATAACCATACCATAAGTATAACAACCACGCATCATGACGATAAAACTACTTACCATGATTATGACAACCACGCACCATGATTATGATTACCATGATTATAACAACCACGCACTATGATTATAACAACTAACTTACTATGATTATAACAACCACGACCATGATTATAACAACCACGCATACGATTATAACAACTATTACCATGATTATAACAACCACTCACCATGATTATAACAACAACGACTATGATTATAACAACAACGCACTATGATTATAACAACCAATAATTACATGATTATAATAACCATGACCATGATTATAACAACCACGCACCATGATTATAACAACAACCACTAAGGATATAACAACCACAAACCATGATTATAACAGCCACGCACCATGATTATAACAACCACAAACATAATTATAACAACCACTTAACTATGATTATATAACCACTTACCATGATTATAACAACCACAAACCATGATTATAACAACCACGCACCATGATTATAACAACAACGACCATGATTATAAACAACCACGACTATGATTATAACAACCACGACCATGATTATAACAACCACGACTATGATTATAACAACCACGACTATGATTATAACACCTACGACTATGATCATAACCACGACCATGATCATAACCACGACCATAATTATAACAACCAAGACCGTGATTATAACGACCATGATTATAACAACCACGAACATGATTATAACAACCACGACTATGATTATAACAACCACGACCATGATTATAACAATAACGACCATGATTATAACAACCACGACTATGATTATAACAACCACGACCATGATTATAACAACCACGACTATGATTATAACAACCACGACTATGATTATAACAACCACGATCATGATTATAACAACCACGACCATGTTTATGACGACCATGATTATAACAACCACGGCCATGATTATAACACAAACGACCATGATTATAACAACCACGACCATGATTATAACAACCACGACCATGATTATAACAACCACGACCATGATTATAACAACCACGACCATCATTTAATCCCATATGTTATGTTATTCACTTTACGCGTTTCTCACTTTCCGCGGTACCCTGTGGGTTACATTAACCGCGTAAAGTGAGGGTTGACTGTATTAGAAATAGAAATAGGACATCACTGAGGCTGTAGCACACATCTCGGCTTTCTTAGCAAGTCAGGTCATTGTGCGAACAGAAAAGTTAGATATCAGCTCAGCTGTGACGTAAAAATAGGATCAGTGTGCATGTGTAAAGAAGAAAATCCGAAGCCAGACCTTTGGCTTCGAAGTCCAAGCTGGTGCCATACCTCTGGCTTTGAAGCCAAAGCCAGCTTCAGCCACAGGTCTACAAATATACAGCACTTATCAACAAAGCAATAAATAATTCAACACTCACAGGGATAAACTGCTCAAGTCGTCCACCAGGGAAGACACCGTAGAGGCGAGGGCCCAGGCGACGCTCCGACAACAGGGCGAAGATGACACTCTCAGCCAGTACGGACTCTAGGGCGTCCTCACCATGAACCTGAGGAAGAAGGCAATACTCATTACTTTCCTTATTGTTATTAAAATTGTTCAACTTGAGAATAACAAATTGGTTTATATTTATCCATATGTTGCATTTCTATTTACCCTACTTTCTTGTGAGGTGCATCAAGGGAAAACACCTCATAAATGCAGGAAATAGGATTAAAAAATATTGTGATGAAATAAATTTTTAGAAGAATGAAAGAAAGAGTTGAAACAGTATAAAATAAACAATCCATCACATATACTTTCTCAAATTATTGACTTGCAAAGTATACAAGAACAATCATTAATTTTCACACCAAAACGATGCTTTCTGTCAGGTCACTGATCATGTTAAACTAAGTCATTATGTTCATTCACTATCATACAGTCAACCCTCACTTTACGCGGTTAATGTAACCCACAGAGTACCGCGGAAAGTGAGAAACGCGTAAAGTGAATAACATAACAGATGGGATTAAATGAAATAGAGACCAGCTGACCCCCAAACTCCACTTTTTCCAACACAATACCTATGTTCTAGTAAAAATAACATCTTGATTTTATGATGGTACATGCACACAATTAATACTTAAGAGAAATAGAGAAATACAGTCGCCAAGTTAATGTCCATTCAAATAATGGACTCAACTCCCTCCCCCTCTTCTCACACTAAACTCCTGGCTCTTCCCTCTCTGAGAAATTTTGGGGGGAAAACCAGGTATAGTAATAAATAATACCTCAAACTAAAGTTAGGATAATATAATTGACATCGCTGGATTCCTTGTAAGACCAGGAATATTTTGAATACAAATGTCATATATTTTGCACAAAAGATAACATATTTACTCAGAGTAAACATTATATCTAAAATTTGTATGTCTAATGCAAAATCTATGTTGTTTATATTCAAAATGATCATCAAATTGTAAGAATTCCAGCAATGTAAATTATATTCTGGCCGGGTAATTTGTATGAATTTTATGAGCTAAAACAAATATCTTCAGTTAATAAAAAAAAAAATATCTTCACGACACTATCTGTCAATCAAAGTACCCCACCTTGCCTCCCCCCCTCTGCCAACCCGGCCAGATGGTCGGTCCGCCCCAACCCTCCCCCCCACCCCCCACCAATCCTCCCTTCAAGAGAAAGGTTGGGTGAAAAAACTAGATTTTAACATTTAGTATTAAATAATACCTCAGATTAAAGTTAGGATAATATAATTGACATTGCTGGATTCCTTGTAAAACCAGGAATATTTTGAATATAAATGTCATATATTTTTCACAAAAGATAACATATTTACTCAGAGTAAACATTACATCTAAAAATTTGTATGTCTAATGCAAAATCTATGATGTTTATATTCAAAATGATCATCAAATTGTAAGAATTCCAGCAATGTAAATTATATTCTGGCCGGGTAATTTGTATGAATTTTATGAGCTAAAACATATATCTTCATTAAATAAACAAAGAAATATTTGAAAATGCGCTCAGAAATCCATGCCGGAAAACTGAAGGTTACGGTTTATTGATTGCCGGATTTTTGATGGTCAACCTGTATATTAAAATAATAAAAATGTATTATAAACCTGTCTAACATACCGTAAAAGAACAATATACCCCGGTAATAAACAAAGCTGCTATCATCACCCCCCCCCCATTTGCCAGTGACAAGAAAGGGAAAGTGACCTTGACTGTGACCGCCTGTGGCTATTTTTAGCCGTCCTTGTGTTCGGAGGTGGAAAGTAATGCATATCTGTATATTTACTGATCATAATACTTATCTCCTATAAATAATTCATTTAAATTTTATTTTTTTACAAAGAATATTCAGTAAATGACTGCGTTAATTCTTGAAACTACCGACAGTGGTAAATTTAGGATATAAATTATGAACAGAAGTCAAGTCATGTATTCGGAGTTTGGTCCTTAATGATCACCATAAATGTCTGGTCAACTTCACCTACCAGGTATAATGGTAGCCTCCCTTTTTCACAAAACAAGTATATAATTAAAGAAAATACTTGCAGTGTGTTTAATATATTACAGTATATTATAAATAAATAAATAAATAAATAAATCGGCAAATCTATTTCAAGTAAATGGAAGTATTTTACTCACACCGACATTAGTTCCAATTAAATAACAGACGCTTAAGTGAGTCACTAGTGTTTACACTACTGTACACCAGCTGGTAAATTTTGATGCCAATACTTTAAGTGAATTGGCCTTATTTCAAATAACCAACCATAAATAAATGCAAAAAGGAAAAAAGATCAAAGGCGAGAAACATTATATTGTATGTATGTTGTGTTGTCAAAGGAAGAGAAACAATTGAAACTCTGCAATTGTGTGTAAATGAGACAGAAAGATAGATCAGCAACCTAAGACTTGGTCACAATTTTTGTGATGCCATATGGAAGTAGGATCTACCATTAGACAATACTGTACATTATGCTTCCAATATCTTCCCAGGCGGTAGTATCTCCCTGTTTGGTAGCTGCCTAAAATTTTTAGTAATATTACTTTGATACAACATGATAAATTAGACAAACAATGAAAATAAACAAACAAAAGTTATTTACCAAGACCTTCTCTCTCAGAACAGAGGGTAACAGATGGAGAGGAGATAAGGAGGCTATTTATAGCCTGTCTTTGTGTAGGAAGTCAACCACACTAGAAATAATTCATTTAAAATTTATATTTTTTACATAGAATATTCAGTACATGACTGCGATTATAAAATATTGTGAATATATATATATATATATACCTGTATATATATATATATATATATATATATATATATATATATATATATATATATATATATATATATATATATATATATATATATATATATATACACACACACACAGTTAACCCTCACTTTACGTGGTTAATGTAACCCGGAGGGTACCGCGGAAAGTGAGAAACGTGTAAAGTGAATAACATAGCATATGGGATTAAAGCCGCAGGAAATTAAGGTTTGTTTACATCCGGCAGTTCGGCTGCTCTCTCTCTCTCTCTCTGCTTGTCTATACAGAGTACAACATTTAACCCTTCAATATATATGAGCAGTAAATAAGTGTTGCTTTCATATTCTTATGTAGAGTAATGACGATATATTTTCACATGTGCGCACTTACATACGAGCAGTCTCACTTTTTTTTTTGCCATTAATGGTTAGCTACTTATATTGTTCTATTTATGAACATTAAATAACATTACAGGTACTTCAAGCAACCATATTCATTTTTTACATTAATTTTACTACAGCTAAACTCAGGGTCTTATTTTCTTCAGTTTTATATGTAGAACCAATCAGTCACTGGTTTCGTAAGCTTTAACATAAACAATGCCGGCAGCCGTCTCGTCTCCTCTAATATTCCACGTATTATTAATAAATTGTATTGTTAATTTTGCACACATGTACATTAATTCAATAAAAACAAATTCAGAAACATTAATTAAAATATATATGAACAGTAAATAAGTGTTGCTTTCATATTCTTATGTAAAGTAATGACGATATGTTTTCACGTGTGCGCATGCGCACTTACATATGCGATCTCTCTTTTTCTTTACCATTATCGTTAGTTACTTCTATTGTTCCATTTATTAACATTAAATAACATTACTTAAAACAACCATATTAATTTTACTACAGCTACAACCAAGGTCTTATTTTCTTTAGTTTTATATGTAGAACCAGTCAGTCACTGGTTTTGTAATCAATGAAAACAATGCTGTGTCATTTCCTCATGTGTTTTAATTTTCTACGTATTATTAATGAATTGTATTGCTCATTTTGCACACATAAACATTAATTCAATAAAAAAGACATTCAGTAATAAACAATAATGAATCTTTTGTACATAAGAGAAATGACGCTGTTTACACGATTATGCAAGTCGTCTGCACGTTGGCGGGCCGTTCAAACCCGTCGAAATTCAAGTTTCCGCCGTCAAAATTTTTATTTATTTAATTTTTTGTGTGTTCCAATAAAATACGTTAAGAATTAAAAACTCGCGAAATTTGAGAAGCTACTATACGACATTTAACCCTTCAATATGTCTTCAAAGAGACCATGACGCAGAGAAAGTGCTGCTAGTGCTTCCAGGCATAAGCACAAGTCACTATCTATCCAGGAAAAGGGTGAATTTCCATGGTCCGGCAATTTCCATGGTCCGGCACCGGTCAGGTCCCGAGGTTGCCGGACTAGAGAGGTACAACCTGTATATATATATATATTACACAAATATATATATATATATATATATATATATATATATATATATATATATATATATATATATATATATATATATATATATATATATATATATATATATATATATATATAATATATATATATATAATATATATATATATATAATATATATATATATAATATATATATATATATATTATATATATACAGTTGTACCCCACTTAATGCGGTCAATTGAACCCAGAGGGTCCCGCGTTAAGTGAAAACGCGTTAAGTGAATAACAGAACATATGGGATTAATTCCAATAGAACCCAGCCCGACCCCCAAACTCCACTTTTTGACGACAAATAACTATGTTGTAGTAAAAATAACATCTTAATTTTATGATGGTACATGCACACAATTAATACTTAAGAGAAATAGAGAAATACAGTCGCCAAGTTAATGTCCATTCAAATAATGGACTCAACTCCCTCCCCCTCTTCTCACACTACACTCGCTGGCTCTTCCCTCTGAGAAATTTTTGGGGGAAAACCAGGTATAGTAATAAATAATTCCTCAAACTAAAGTTAGGATAATATAATTGACATTGCTGGATTCCTTGTAAGACCAGGAATATATTGAATATAAATGTCATATATTTTTCACAAAAGATAACATAATTACCTAGAGAACAATTTTTATCTAAAAATTGTATGTTTAATGCAAAATATATGTTGTTTATATTCAAAATGATCACCAAATTATAAGAATTCCAGCAATGTAAATTATATTCTGGCCGGATAATTTGTATGAATTTTATGAGCTAAAACAAATATCTACAGTTAATAAAAAAAAAAAAATATTCTTCAACACTATCTGTCAATCAAAGTACCCCACCTTGCCTCCCCCCGTCTTCCAACCGCTCGGTCAGTCCCAACCCTCCCTCCACCCCCACCAATCCTCCATTCAAGAGTTTTTAACATTTAGTATTAAATAATACCTCAGATTAAAGTTAGGATAATATAATTGACATTGCTGGATTCCTTGTAAGACCAGGAATATTTTGAATATAAATGTCATATATTTTGGACAAAAGATAACATAATTACCTAGAGAACAATTTTTATCTA